GTATTTTAATTTCAACCTCATTTCATGTAGTTCTTCACCTTAATCATCTTCATAACGTATTCTTAATGATAGACTTATGTTTTATAATTCACACGATACTCACAATTGATTGATCACTGGGTGGTGTCAAGTCCTGTAGGTAGTGGATCTATGTTTACATTTTGCATTGATCTTTCAACATACATGACATTGATCACTACCCAGTGATCAATCAGTTTTGAGTACATATCAGTTTTACAGGAGGTCGGTTGCGGCCTGGATAGCTCAGTGGTAACGTCTCTGACTGTGAAGCTGGGTGACACGGGATGGAATCCGTCATGAAGCACCAGGTCCCTCAAGAATCACAGGTACACCTTGCTGACGAGTGCCAAGTAGCACGAAACCTGGGTCCAAGATTTCCTGTCGACTACCTCCAACCACCAATTAATTTCACACGATACTCATTACTGTAAACATAATCATGATACAACATTTCTACTATGCTGCATGATTTTTGAAACCATCTTCATCTATTAATTAGAATTGATCATCGTAAGACATGGTTTTGTCTCATCTTATCATATGTGACCACCTTTAGGTAAAATTGTACTATACTAACGAACCTATCAAAATTAAAAAAAGTCTACCAGTTAAACGATAGTGAATGACCTATATCTTAATAGCACTGAGGAGTCCCACAATAGGACGAAACGACCCTCCAGTGCTTCTAGGTTTTCCAAGGTGATCTAGCTTCAATTGACTCATGATCTCAACTGTTTAAATCAATGTTTAGTAACTAAAATGCCTAAAATTTATAAATATGGGAAAACTAAAAAAATACGGAATACAATTTATAAATTTGTGAGAGTAACCTTCAGACTTAAAACTGTAAAGCGTAATGCAAAGACGGATAGTGGCTAGCAGTGGAATGGAGGTCGCGCGTTTCATCTTATTTGGGATTCGAACACACGGTACTGTTTGCTTCAAACGCCATTGCGTTATCCACTTAGCTACTGAGTCTTGATAGCCACTTGGTATTGTTTTCAAGCAAAACAATACTAAGCGAATTCAAACTCCACCCCATTGAACAAGTAAGTAGCTATCAAGACTCAGTAGCTAAGTGGATAACGCGATGGTATTTGAGGCGAACGGTACTGGGTTCGAGTCCCAGAGTAAATATGAACTCTGAGATACAGGCACATCCAGCTGACGACTCCCAGATAGGATGAAACACGCGTCTTGGATTCCACTGCTGGCCACTATCCATTTTTGCTTATAATGTCTGTGAATTAAGGCTATATCGAGGTAATACGCATAGTATGCGCATATGCTAATAAGAGAATGATCAATTGTAGTCCTAACATCAATGGGAAGATTCACGTAAACAATACCAAGTGAAAGTAGAGCGGTAAGATTAAACTATGTAAAGTACTATTGTCTTGAAATAACCGTAGTTAATTTTCAGTACATAGAGATAACGACTTGAAATAAAACAATAATTAGTGATGGGAATAGATTCGAACCACTGTAACCATTAGAATACGATTCAATAATCTATCATTTATATTCTTTATGATTTTATCCAACTAATGAATGAATTGGTGAAGAATATCAGCTCCGAAATAATACATACTTAAGGAAAAAGAAGACACTCATTCAAACGAAAAAGTAATAATCAAATCAAAAGAAAAATAGCCTGTTGAAGGTGGCATGTTTCCTGTGAGCTGAATGATTTAATAGTTATGATGCATGAAATTGACTTTCTGGATGGCATCATCAGCACGTACTGCAAAAGGTTGTGCTGTTGGAATATTTCTCCATCATAATTGACTAATAGCTTGTTATATTAACCTGGAATATGTTTGATTGTTGTCTATAATTGTTTGATCCTTGTTTGCATGTTCTTCTTCACTTTCGACCTGGTCTATGAACTAGAAAATGCCAACTCTTCTACATATTGGCTGGTAGATTTTAACGACTTCAATATATCTATTGGTTAATGGTTGACTTGGGTACCAGGTTTCGGAATAATCTCTGGTTTCCTTTGTTTTAATGACGAACAATTCCAAAGTCAGAGATTATGTTGGAAGAGAAAACAATTAACTTTTTTTGCAAAACGTTATGTCCTACAAGTTAGATTATATAGAGGTAAAACTGGGGGTTTTTATGGAAGAATGAAACTCGGATCTCTTAACAGTCTGTAGGTATATAGAAATTAACACTTCTATCAAATAAATAGCTAAAAGGTCAGAGGTGAAAAATTTTTTAGAACAAAACATGTAGACAACATTCACACAATAATAGGCAACAACCAATCGAATTCTAGGTCAACAGAATAACAAGCTATTGATCAATTATGATAGAGAAATATTCTCTTTGAATTACATACTGATATTGTTGTCAATAGTTGAAATCATAAGTCAATTGGAGCTAGAACACCATGGAACACCTGGAAGCACTGGACGGTTGTTTCATCCTGGCATAGGACTGCTTAACAGTGCGTGTCCACGATCCCGCCTTTCCCCGTGAGATTCGAACCCAGGTCCTGTGGTGATTTCAACTATTGGAATTCATAAAATATCCACAAAACCCCTTCTGATAATGATAATCCGCTCACTAGTGACTGACTTCAAGAGACTCCTGGAGTTCTAGTGAGAAGCCGTGACCAGTGGAGTCCAACCAGGTCTGTTGTGGAGTATCAACTCACTGAAGACAATGGTGGATGGTGGCGCAATTTCGTGGACTGGTTGAAGTCAAACATTAACACCGTTGGATGCCGGCCGGCTCAGTGGTCTAATGGTTAAGCGCTCGGTGCGAGACTGATAAGTGCTGGGTTCGGGTCTCACGAGGCGTGGTCATGGATGCGCACTATTGAAGAGTCCCATACTAGGACGAAACAGCCACCGACTGCTTCCAGGTTTTCCATGGTGGTCTAGCTTCAATTGACTCATGAATTCAACTACTGAAATTTCTAAAATCTCCACATAATCCCTTCTGATAACTATTAAACTATCCAGCTCACAGAGAACACAATGCTCTATATCTAGATGAAAATAGACATAAAACTCAAATGATTCAACAACGAATTATCGCATCAAAAAGGTGAATTCAGAACATACAAAAAAAACTCAGACAAAGAGATAAGCTAAATAAGAATAAATGAGTGAAATAAATTCACTTGAATAGGTTTCTCTGAAATGCTTTTCATTTATTTACTCTACGAATGTGGTGGGAAAAAAAGAGGATAATAAAAGAAAAAAAGATGATGTGAAAAATAAAATTAAAATAGAAATGGTAAGTGAAATAGTGTGTATTATTCCCCTCTTCTTCACAAACAAACACAAATATATCACTAATATATATACTTTGAAAGGGAAGGTATCATAAAAGAAAGGAAAAGTAAACAGACAAACATTCGAAAATAAAGTTCACTCCATGAGAATTATTGATCATGTGTTTCTGTTGATAATAATGCTATAAACGAAAACGATGTAGGTAAGTGTTTATGTGTGTATGGCGATGGGTGGGTGCATGTACACATAAACATTTGTATGAATATCAACTTGGAATGGCGACTCTTGAGTGCTTCAAGTTCAATAATGAGTAACTAGTTATATACTACAGTAGTACTGTCTATCAAGAGTAAGGGTTAAATAAAGTGAGAGTGTTATCACTAAATATATCAAATGATCATCTTCAAAACAAGTTAGATATTCAAAAGAATAAGATATTTGTGATGAATAAATAGATTCGACATAATGTACTTATCCTTTGATAATGAATGAAAATCGATAGATATAGTATTGATCAAAGTTGGGTAATAATCAACTGAATATGCTGTTAACGTTTATACACTTATTAGTAATTCAATATTACAGGGGATCATTTGTCATAAAAATAATTCAGTTGCAATAACGATGATTGAAATGATGAATGTTAATATAGTAAACGAATACTCAGTACCTTTGTGGTGCGTGCTACTTATATTGATATAAGTAGTATATGACGCGAGTCAGGAATGTAATGTCTGGCAGCAGAAAATGGGGAAGATCAGGAAAGGATGAGCGGGAATAGAAAGCAATTAGTATGGAAATTCAAGAACAATGAAGTTCGAGACAATTATTGAACATTTTGCAAATTAAGTATCATAGTATGGTTTTTCTAATTTACCAAGTAGCTCTGCAATTTTGTGCCTAATACATTCTATTGTCCCCACCCGTGTTCTGTTCACTACACCTTGGTAAAATATGGAAACTATACATTAAATATAATATTTACACATCATCCTTCAGTTGTCCTTCATGATTCTTTCAATTCTGTTCTCATTACAAAATCCCTCTATTAATATTCCTGTTCTCTTCAATTCGATCCTCTTCATCTACTGCTACTAGGCATTCCACGCTTGACTGATGTCACATACTACTTATATCTGTCAATATAAGTAGCATACATCACAATAGTAGTAAGGATTTCTGAATGAAGAATCAACTTCGTCATGTTTTTTAAAAAAAGTATACTGCACCGATGATTATTAAACAGTATAAAGTGTAGATCTGTTGATAAACCACCAATCATTTAAAATGTCACATTAACATATGCTTTGAATCTAAGCAACAATATAATAATTCTGACTAAATTATTCAATACTATAATTAGAGATAGTATCTATGTAAGATGATTGACATCACTAATTATCCCATATGCCAATATTCAATTGAATAATAGTTCTTTACACTTGTATACTTTAAAATGTTCATTAATGAATATAGATATTGAAAAATTATTATTAATATCAGATGTGTTTTGGGGATATAATAGTAATTTCAATGGTTAAGATCATGAGTCAGTTGAAGCTAGACCACCATGGAATCCCACAATAGGATGAAACGACCGTCCAGTGCTTCCAGGTTTTCCATGGTGGTCTAGCTTCAACTGACTCGTGATCTTAACCATTGAAATTATTATTACACAGAAATGTTTATATCAGTAATTCAAATAAAATCATGATAATAATCACATACCATCACAATCAGCATCTTGAATCATTCGACGTACTTCATCTCGTGTTGTTTTAACACCAAGAAATCCAAGAACAGATTCTAATTCAGTTTCAGTGATTCTACCATCACGATTAACATCGAATAGAATGAAAGCTTCTCGGAGATCTAAAGTGTATACAATTAATAAAAAAAATAATACAATAATAAATTTAAGAAGCAGCTTTAATTATGAATACTGATTGATAAATCGATAAAAACAAGTATTAACTTTGTGAGCCGAGATAGAATGTGGTTAGGAGTGAAATCGATGAGTCGTCAGCTGGTTGTGCCATCAGTTCAGAGTTAATGTGACTACCTGGACTTAAGAGCTAAGTGGATAACACAAAGGTGTTTGAAGAGAAAGGTGCTATGTTCAAGTCATGGGGTGAACGTAAACTCTAGGGTTTAGGTACATCCAGCTGATGAGTTACAAATAGCATGAAACACAAGTCATCGAATCTACTGTTGGCCACCATTTTTTCCTGTTTACAATGCTTGTGACTTAAGGCAATATTGAGGCAATCCTCACAGAAAGCACATATGCTAATAAGAGACTGATCAACTGCAGTCCTAAGTGTCCATGGGAAGATTCAAACAACCAAATTCAAGATGAACTACTTACTTTGTAGAAGATTATAAATCTTATAAGGTATATACACATTAAAGAATAAAACCATTGAAGCAAAGATATAAAATGGACTTTAAATCAATTGTTTTTTTTAATAGAAATTTTAATCCTTCATTGATAAGATTTGATTAAGTCAATTTGAATGAGGAAGTCAATACACATTATTGAAGAGTCATGAATAAGAATGACAGGATTTACATTTAAGATTAAGTATAAAATACTACTCTAAATAACTGTAATCAATTTTTAGTCATCATATTCGAAATCAACAACTATAGATCTTTAATCGTTAAGATCATATAAGTCAGTTGAAGCTAGACCACCATGGAAAACTTGGAAGCACTGGGTGGCCGTTTCTTCCTACTGTAAAACTCCTCGGCAGTGTGCATCCACGATCCCGCCTCGTGAGATTCGAACTCAGGACCTATCAGTCTCGCGCGTGAGCGCAAGTCATAAATATATAATATATCTTCATTTTACCGATAAATTAATACTATTCAGACTAGAACTGTGCATGAATTTACTTTTAACTAAATCAATTCATTCACCAATTCGTTGAGTGTGAGGGCCGGCTTATGATAATACTCGATAGCAACCACGAATTGAAGTAGGCTAAATGAAATTTAAACCTGAAATTTAATGATTGAAAGTTGAGAACGGTTTAATCACTATGTTTACTAGTCAATTAGCACACGAACTTGGTATCAATTAGCACTAATTATGCAACACTAAGACATAGTGTATGAAGGATCGAGTGAGTTTGACTATTGATGATATGGTAACTTACTTGAATGATTTTTTTGGTTGAGATCATGAATTAATTGATGTTAGACCACCGTTGGAAACCTGGAAGCACTGGACGGCCGTTTCGTCATAGTATGGAACTCCTCAGCAGTGCGCATCCACAATCCCGCACCCCGCGGGATTCGAACCCAGAACCTACTGGCTTCGCGCCTGAGCATTTAACCATTAGACCACTGAACCGGTATCCAATGGTGTTAGTGTCTAACATAAACCAATCCACGAAAATGCGCGACCACCTTCGATTGTATTGAGGTAGATACCTGTCTCTACCCGACACGGATTAGCTCCACTGGTCACGACTTCTCACTAGAACTCCGAGAATTTCCTTACGAATTTGATCAATGATGAAGGTTACACAAAGAAGAATGATCAATTCTTGAAATGTATATGTGTAAACCATGAATTGAAATGGTTGTATAGAATGATAAGTACAAATAATTATTTCATTAGCTAATGAAAAACCTTATTCATAATATTTGTTTAATCTTTTTTTCTGCTATGAACAAATCATTATGATTTAATGGACATGGAAATAAGTTGTGTCAATCATAAGTTATCTTTGAACGACACAATGTCCTTATATAAACAATCATTTACATTTATATATTATGCCTGACGGACTGAACAGTACCAACTGATAATGATCAGTTTTATCGACTATTTATGGAGATTGTTAAAATTATATGACATTCATCAAAGATTGATCTTAGTTAGATAGCCATTGAAAGTCAGAAATTATTAGATAATAGTTTCGTCCTATTATAGGAATCTTCAGCAGTCCATATTCACAATCCCATGGATGACTGAGCCTAGAAATGTCAGATTTTGCAATGAACATCTAACCCTTTCGGTCGCTGAGCTAATAATGTTTTGTGATGTTACACAACCAACTTTCAATGCCATTAATTGGCAACTAGCTCACAATCGATTTGGTCGAACTCAATTAGTTATTGATTATTACTGGAAATCCGACCGTTGTTGCTACCTTGACGTGGTGGTCGGGCTTGCCTATCGTGATGAAGCAACCGAGCTATACTGGCTGCCACAACCGTTCCTCAAGGTCCTACCAGTAAGGTGTTTCCTTCAGACAACTAGCATGACAGCGATGCTGCCTTCCCACAAGAAGGGGTGGGGTTAGAAAAGGTCGACCCTAAAAATGAACACCTCGCCTTATCCAACGGATATCCGTCTCTGGCGGTAAGGTCTCAACAAGTAAGAAGCTAACACAAAAACCACTCATAAAAAGGTCGTGTGTGACCGACCTCATGCAGTTCTCCCTTGGGCACTGCAGTCACGCCCTCAGGTTACTAAGACGACCTCTAATCCAATGTCCTTTCCAGGCAATTCCAGAGGAACCTTTCCATGGAGTGGGCAACTGGGAAGTGATAACCGCACTCATACCTCTAACAGAACTCAAGGAAATTCGAGAATTACTTCTTGAAATAATTTATAAGTGGATACATGATTATTACTATCCTATGAGGATTCAGTCAATCGATTTGATAAACGGTAAAATACATTCTAATCTCCCCCCTCCCATTTTTTTTTACTAATAAAGTCATCATTGTATTACTAAACATTAACTTTCATAGTTAACCAAAGATAAGTGAGATAACAAACTTCATCCTTTACACATTGTAGAAAGTTCATACCAAATAGGTAAAAATTTGGCTTTATTTTAAAGTTAATGATTACAATACACTAAATATGTTCTATTGTAATTTAAGATTTTACGTTCTAAATATGAGGAAAGTCATAGTAATTCATAAAAAATCAATTATTTTTTTAAATTTTAGTTATTTCCCTAGTCAAATGATCACTTGGAAACTATGGTTATACTTTTTTTTTCTTTTTTACATAATCGATTTTATGACATAACTGATTGAATTAGGTATTTGTCCATTAACTATGATTATTATTATTATTATTGTTCACCTGTAATACATTATTAGTTGACTAGTAAACATTTGATTAAGTATCGATTTCTAATTCTATTGTAAGACTTATTATTTGTTAAATTTCATTAAAATCATGAATTGATCTAAATTAGATCACTTTTGAAAACCTAAAAGCATTGGTTGGTCATTTCGTTCTAGTATGAGACTCTTTAAGAGTGCGCATCCAAAATTGTTCACGCTAGAATCGAACCCCGGAAATTCGGTCCCAGGTGCGAACACTTGACTTCAATAGTTAATTAAATCATGATAATAATGAAGAGGCAACTAAAAAACAGAATAATTTAATCGCTAATGTTTCAGATTATCCTATTGTTGATATTTTGACTGATATTTGATCAGTTTTGGTTGACATATGTGCATATTGTCCAGATTACTTCGATATAGATATTATGACAGAAGTATACATAGAGCATATGGAATATGGCTAACAGTGGGATACAGGACGCGCGTATCTTCCTATTTATGACTCATCGGATGAGTTCAAATGCATCCCAGAATCGATGTTCACTTCAGCATTCATGTTAAAACCACTAGTGAACATAAATATACCGTTATGGACTAAATTTTGCGTAGACTAGCTTACCACTAGAGACTAAGGGGAATTGGACAGTTTTTTGTCCTAGTATGGGACTCTTCATCAGTGTGTATCGACAACCTCGACACGAAGATAGTCCAGGTCTCACAGTAAAATTTAACTATTAATTAACTGAGTGAAAACTTGACCATTCATATCTTCAACTTTAAACAATTTATGATATAGAACAACGGTCATCCAATGTTGTAGGTAACTACTATCTCATTCTCAAAAAGCTTAAACTACAGTGGTCACAACTTCAAAAACTTTTTAAAAAAACGTTTTACGAAGTAAGTCATTACCGACGGTCGAAATTCAAGGTTTAATTCTTGATATGGTTATGCGTGAGCATTGATGAGAAGTCACATACTAAAATGAAGTAATTACTCACTCGTCCCTAGTTTCCAATGGTACCTATCATCAGCCTCAACTGAATGTCATCTTCAAACTAAACTATTCCTCATTCAATAAGATTATTAACCAGTTAACTAATGATTTGTATATATATACTGCTGGTTCGAAGCGGTTACGAGTTCACTTAGACTGCGAACGGAAACAAAGACTCGGTGACGAAAACCAATAAGCTACCTATTCCATGCGTCCCAGCCCCGCTAACTAGAAGAAGAAATTCAAGCTTGAAATAGGGAAGTATATTCCGCAAAAAGTCAGAAAACGAGCGATAACAACAGACACGAATCAAAACACATATATACAATACAAAACCGTCCTGGGAAGAGTTTAAAAAATAGCATAGCCATTCTAAACCTACTATCATGAATCCATCAAGTAGATATCTTAATTCTTCCAGTTACCAACAATTACCTTGGGATAATTATTACCTTATACACTTCATCTTCAAGTTGTTTTATGAATCATTCACAATTAATTTTAATAAGCATCTGCATGATTATTATTATCTAACAAACGACCACTTGACTAGTATTGATTCTGTTACTATCAATATTATTATTACTATTTATAATAATAGTTATTATTATTATTATTATTGCTCTATTCATCTTTTTATCCAGTTAGCAACAACGGCTTTTGTTTTCAAATAACAATGTAAAAAAACAAACAAAAAAAACAGCTGAGGTGAATAAACCGTTGTTCGGAAGTTTTTTTAAACACATTTTGCGTAATTGTGACTGTAAACAATCAG